TCAAAGTAGCTGGTCGCATGGCTCAAGAGTCGACCTGGCACCCGCCACTCTAGCGCTTCCCCGTCTAGCTCAATTCGGAAGGCCGGGTCGAAGCGAGCAAAATTCTCGTTGTGAGGTCGTCCGCTAGCTGGTCAGACCTCCCCGAATCCACTGTAGCTGGAATTCGCAGTTCTTAGCAGAAAGCTCTTCTGCTAGATCGATCAGGATTAGCGTGGAAGGGAACTTTGTGGTCATCGCCTTCCTCAGTAGCGCCTCGTTCCACTGGTTGTCGGTGTAGCCACGGATGGCCACCCTCGAGTCTTCTTAGCTTCCCCTTCCGGGACCCATAGCTGGACGGCTACCAGGGTAGCCAGTAGCTCCAGGGCTGCGATGACCTTGTTGCGATCGCCGTCTTTTCTCGGACGCCACTCCAGCTCGTCGGCGTAGAGTAGCATGTGCAGGGGGAAATCCGGGCCTAGCAGCGATCCTCGTTTAATCAGTAGCTTGCGCAGGAAGCCCGAAGGTACCGTTAACGTAACGTTTGCGCAGCGGGGTCGCCCGGAACCTCCTCAGTGGTGTCCACCTGCTGCATGGGGTCATGTTTGTGGCGACGGTGAGCCTTAGCCATGTCCCACACCACCGAGAAGGCGACGTCGTCCTCCTGCTCCCTCAAGAGGTGTTTCTTCTCTCTAGCGCGCGGGGACCGGATCTTGTCCCGGCACTTTATCCTGTGGTTCACCCGAACCCCATGCAAGCGTCGTGGATGACGCGCTTGTCCTTAGCCCTTAGCCTCGTCCTCGACCACGATCACTGCTAGCGCTGCGATAGCCCGGTGCTCTCCATAGCGCTTTTGGAACTCGCCCAATATGACATCTTAGCCATGAGGTCCTCCTCGACGTCCTCCTCGAACTTGGCCCTAGCGAAGTCCAAAGGGTCCTCTACCGAGCCATAATTCGGGACGCAGGCTAGCGAGGCCTTCCAGGGAGAATTCTCCGGGGGCCACTTTAGCTGTTCGTCAAAGACGTGGTAGCGGTCCTCAACGGCCGGTTGGGTGCTTGCACAAGGCCGAAACCGGGGTTCGCGATGGCAGGCCGAGGGAAGGCGAGCACCCCGACCGACCGACGATGAAGTGGCGCTGAAATCTGGGCCAAGAATTCCTGGTAGGCTCTCGTCTGCTCGAAGGCGCGGAGGGGAAAGGCGGGGCCAATGAATGGCATTGATCTGGAACCTCTGAGCGAAGCGTTATCCTTTGCTTGCGCAAAGAAGTCTTTTCTGTCCGTGATGCTACCGACGAGGGCGGCACCCTTCGGGACACGTAGCAAGCAGAGCTCTTGGAGGGTAGGTGGGGTTAGTAAGTGGTTAGCCACTTAGTAATTGAGTACATGAGTTAGATAATCACTTAGATAAGCAGCTAAAGGAGTTACGCTAAGCACCAGAACAGCAATTTAGTTGTTTCCGTGTCTGGCATTCGGGGAAAAAGCCATCACAACGCGCCGGGACCATAGCTCAACACGACGACTGCAACTGTCGCCACTCCTGGTGCCCGTCATCTGGGACATCCTCCACATCCGTACATATCCTAACGAGGTTCCACACAAACGACCCTCGACTTGTCTGTACAACGATGAAAGAATATGAAAGATGTCAAGACCTGCACGGTCTCCTGAGTCGGACTACATGTCAAATATGTCAACGGCCCTTGTAGTCTGACGAGCAGCATTGGAAGAAAGGGCCTTGCTTGCATCGTCCTCACCTAGGACAAAGCACCGGAACGGTCTGCTACAGGTTAGAAAGCGCAGCTGGGAAAAAAGTCACAGACCCTCCTCGTCATCTTGACCTGCACTATCAACTTGGCCAACATATGCTCCCAGGCTCAGGTCGAAATGCGAATGCATCGAATCGCCTAGTACAGGAATCAGGGGCACGGCATCTGCATCATCGAAAAGGAGAGTGGTAGATGCCTTCCAAGATCGGCTGCTCATGAAGGGTTGGATGATGCACCGATAAGTCGGAGTCTGAATCGAAGGCCTCACCCACTGCGGCTGTGACGAGATTTTCTCCGATCAGGACTGCAACGACCTTGCCAATAGAATGACATTTGGTGAAGAAACGGAAACACAAAACAAGTCCAGGGTTCGCTCGCCGTCGCAGCCCGCAAAGCCAAGAGGACCATGAAGCAAGTCGTGATCCAAAGCCTGCACAGAGTCGCGAGTAGTTGAGAACGAGCCCGAGGCGCGGTGCTCCTCCAGGACGTGTCGGAGACACTTGGCCAAAGAGCCCACCTGCAGAAGCGCTTTTTGAGCGCCGGGGATGCGCGCACGTGGGAAAAAGACTTAGACGTGGGCATGCGAACCACGGTACAGGAGCTCCTTGATGCTTCAACAATGATCTCGCTACTTTCATATGACACAGGTCCGAACCCATCAGATTCTTATCACATGCAGCACTTTCCTCCGGCATCTCTGCCTGACCGGGTACGAGGTTGCAAGTCCACACAATGCCGAGTCAAGTATGTGAAGTCTGGCCTCAGAGTCCCACCAGCCGTGGATCTTCTTCGCAACCTCCAACGACTGCATCGACCGCATCGACGCTGCAAGGAAAGCTGAAGCCTCCCTGAGCAGCCGCTGATGAAACTGCGTTGCACACCTCGACCCGCTACGGGCCGCCAAGTGGTGCTGTAGATCTACATGGCATGCTCAGTATGATTGAGGCATTTTCCACTGCGCTGCAGCCGCACTTCCACGAAGGCCCGTGAAGAGAGCGTAGCAGCAAGCTGGTGTGTCCAAAAAGCCTGCAAGGGTGGAGGAAACTCGTCGGTCGTTTTTGTCGACGAGTCAAGCAAACTGCGCTCAGATGCTCACCGAGCGGGAACTTCAGTGCAAGGCGGGCCGTCTTCGGCTGACAGAGCGCAAGCCGTCAAGAAGCCAAGAGCGACAAGTGGATACAAGAGCGAAGAGCATCACGCGCCATGTCCGCCAGGACCACCGATCGGTCAAGTTTCCTGTCGGATGCCGAACCTGGCAAGCGCGGCTCGCAGGCATGTGCAGGCCGAATGGGTCGGCCCACGCGTGCTGAGCCTTCAGGATTGGCTCGAAGCACTGATGCAGCAGCTGCTCGAACCTGGCGCTTCACCTTTGCGCTAACCTCTGGCTGACTCGTCCGCCTCCATTGGGCAGTCGGTTCCAACATGTGGAGCTGGGCACACCTTGGTGCTGGTGCAGCGACCCCTTTTTCGAGAGGTCCCAACGTGCAGCTGTGGAAATAGCCGTGGGACTTATAAGAGTTCGCAACGCGACCCATGCGATCGAAAGCGAGCTTCCTAAAGTGCAGACAGTCTTCGCACAGAACAACACTTGACAGCAAGCGTGGACAACGATTACACATGATTGCACTTGCAGATCTTTGGCTGACGTCCAGACAGCACAGGCACTTGTCACACTACGTGTGGCGGCTAACGGAGAGAAGACCAGAGAGCATCAAGTCCACTGGAGTCAAAACGATTCAAGGGAAAGGTGTGAGCCAGGTTGCTCCACTCCCCGGTGTGTAAGCTGAATACCGGGGCTTGGACAGTCCAGGCATCCTCCGACTTCAGCAAGTATCTTGGTAAAGCAGAAACCGCGAGGAAACCAGTTGTACCGAAAACCGAGAAGGTAGCTTTCCCCGCTGTTCTCCACGCTGGGCAAAGTACACCTTGGGAAGTCTAAACGTAGGCCTCCAACACATGAAAGACTAGCTCGGTGCGTGGTGCCTGTGATGGAGGGTGCAGCAACATGTCTGCACTGTGCCGTGTCCAACCTTGATCAGACCATCAAGACACTGAGACTGGAGAAATCTCCTTACACGAGAAAGTCTGCGAGTCTGCAGTCTTCAGTCGCTGGCCTTCGCCGATTGGAATGGCATCTTCATGAGACATCCGGTCCGGTCAGAGAGTCTGGCTTCACTGTCACACACGTGTACTTGAGCTGTTCTGCTAACGATTCCACGTCATAGACCTTGCGTGCTGCTGGATGCTTACAGTCAGTCGCTCTGGTCCTGTCAGCTCGCAGCAAGAAAAACAGCGCTGAACGGTAGAGGACAGGCTGCTACCAGGCCCTGGGCCTTCGACACTTCTTTGTTTCGTTTCAGGAGGGTTGGGGGCAAAGAAACACTTGTCTGCATCTCTGTTGGCGATGTTAATGAATTCATGTTTGGCCTCCGATAGCTGTTCTCCCGTTTCCCAATGAGTGACTTAGATTTTTGCTACAGCTGCCGCAGCCTTGACGGATTGGCAATACGACAAACACAAGCCGAAAACAAATGAATGCTCACAACTCAGCATAAAAGGGAAAGCAGTCTCACGCCCTTTTGTCCGAACTCCTGACTATTTCCACCTCCGATGTGAAACTCGAGGTCATGAAGCGATTGCAGCTTAAGAATCTCTAAGTCCTAAGTACTCGTCGAACTTGAGGCTCTGTACACAAGGCCGAATGCCGCAATCAGCTCCCTAATAAGGTCCTGGCTTCTTGCCCTTGCCCTTTGCGGCCTTGCCACATCCCTTTCCCCAACCACTGTCCCATCCCCAGTTCCCTTTGTCGGAACCCTTTTCTTTGCCCCAACCCTTAGTGTCCTTTCCCTGCGCTGCACCTTTGCTGGATCCTTTGTCCCAGGACCAGGAGCCTTTGCCCCCACCGAAAACACTCTTCACCTCGTTCGCATCGTTGCCGTTGCCCCAGGCGCCCTTCTCATTCCAAGATTTGCTGCTGTCACCCTTGAAGTCGGCATAGTCACCCTTTCCAAAGGCAGAGCCTCCGTTGGACATCGCGTAGGCCTCATGATCACCCTTGCTGGCCATGCCACCCTTGCCCATGCCCTTGTCGGAGGAATCTTTCGGAAATGTCACCTGGAGCGGCATGCTGTAGCCTTCAGGCTGGAAGTTATTCAAGTTCTCCACACACCATCCGCCCTCAAACTCAGGCATGCGAACAAAACCTGCCATGGTAGACTTTCCACCAGACACAGGCAGCACCTTGCTGCTGTATACGTCCCCATACTGATTGAAGAAATCACGAAGGCTGTCCTCATTAGAGCCCAGAGGCAGGCCAGTCACATACAATGTCACATGAGGTGGGAAGTCTGTCTTGCCCTTTCCCTTCCCTGCCAGCATCTGCACAGAACGCTGATCCTCCATAGCTTCTTGACCTGATCCTGCAGGTCTTATGGCAACAGGGTTCTGTAGACCTTGCGGAATGTTTCCGCCCAAAGTCTCATGGATGTACTTGGTTTCCTCTGCTGTGCTGAATTGAAGCAGCCATTGTGTAGCAGCCTGAGCACGCACTCAATTCACAGAGTTAACACATGAAGCGAGACATGCTTGCCAGTGCTTGGCGCTCGTTGACCTGCAAGCGGCTCCTTTGCCAGCCACAGACTTGACAGAGACAATCGTCGCCTCAGATAGCCCGGCACACAAGAACTGAGATAGCTTCGCTTCTTGCAGTTTCTTAGTATTCGCTCATTTCTGCTTTCAAGCAGGACGCATATTGCCCGAAGATTTGCTTCACCTGGTCTTCGGAGCAACCTTCTGGAATTCCCTCCACTTGCAAGTATTGTTGTGTGCTGGCCTTGGTTCACGGGCGATGTGCCGTGGCTCTCTCAGAACCGAAGCTGTCACCGAGTTGCCACTTGCATTTGACCCGGATTGAACGGCACCACTTGGTACCCCTGACAGTTCAGTTTTCTCCATGGAATAACCAGGATATCCGGGGGGCAGCTGATTGGCCAGGGGAGGGGCAGAGGAGAAGCGAGGGGGCTCAAAGTCATTCATGCAACTGCTCCTGTCCCAAAGTAACGGGCGAGCAGAAGCAACACAGGAGTAGCCCGAACGACAATACCGAACAAGATGTACTAACATGGCAACCAGCTTGTCGCCTTCCACATCACCTCGCGTTGGAGCACACCCAAACCAAAACAGAAGAACATATATGGATATGTGGAAAAGGGATGGAGGGAGGAGGGTGGCGAGGCGGGAAAGGAGAGACAGGGAGGG